CTTATTACTTAGTTACTTACAAACTTACTTATTTACTTTACTTACACTTTTATTACTTATTTACTTAATTACTTATTACTTATTTACTTACTTACACATTTATTACTTATGTACTTAGATACTTACACATTTATTACTTAAACACATGTTACTTATTTACTTAGTTACTTACTCATTACTTATTTATTTACTTACTTAATTACTTACACACTTATTACTTAGGTACTTAGTTACTTACACACTTATTTACTTAGCTACTTACACATTTATTACTTATTTACCTAATTACTTACACACTTATTAATTAGTTACTTAGTTAATTACACACTTTGTACTGTTCTCTTAGTTACTTACACATTTATTACTTATTTACTTAGTTACTTACACAATTACTTGTTACTTGCTTCATTTTGAAACTGAAAAAATCTTAACTTGAATATTTCCCAAATAATTATTGCACGAGCAAAATTGTATTCTTTGTTAAGTTTATTTAATTTTTTGTTTGTTTGTTTGTTTGTTTATTCTTCAGCCATGGTTCCAGTTTGTAGACAGCTTTGTTATGAGAGACGACAATTCTGACGCATTCACAGGAAAAACAAAACAAGAATAATAAAAGTATTGTTGAGTTCAGGCATGTCTGACCTTCAGGTCATTTAAAGAAAAATAAATGAGTTTATAAATGTCAGGTTTTCTTTTCACCTGTGTGGCAGAAACACGTTACAGTCTGTCTTCTGCAGCTTTGACTCGTTGTGCGTTCGCAGCTCTACACATGCAGCGTTGCTGTTGTGTAACACCAGTGTTGTTGTGTCTTTTGTGGACTTTCAGGCCTTATCTGTGGGGATTTTCCCGTACGTGCTGAAGCTGCTCCAGAGTTCAGCCAGAGAGCTGCGACCGCTGCTGGTCTTCATTTGGGCCAAAATCCTGGCTGTGGACAGCGTAAGTGTTGGAACACACGCACACGTTAAACCTTTTCTGTCATGAGGACAAAGAAAAGTCCATCTTCATTTAGGTAGAGAAAAATAAGTCTTCCAGGTTCTGAAATTATTCTAATGGACAAAAATCCACAGCTGACAGGAACCCAAACCATTAGCCCTCCACCACCTTGCTGACAGCTGGGAGGAGCTGCTTCTGCTGAAAAACTTCATTTGTTTTGCTCTAAATATGGCACTGTGCATTCTGGGTAAACGTCTGTATTTTGGTCTGGTTTGTTCCAGAAGTTTTGTGGTTTATTCAGATGAAATTTCACGAACCTGAGTCGAGCTGCCATGTTGTATTTGGAGGGAAACCCTTTCTCCTGCAGCACTTCTCAAATTTGTCAGTCTTTTTCTAACAGACCGGTCATGACCTTTGACCTTGAACCTGCTAACAGAGGCCTGTAGAGTCCAGTGTTCACTCTGTTACTTGCCATGGCAGGATGCTCATCTCTTCCGTGATTTTTGTCGACGGGGGGGGTGACGGGACAGGGACATAGAGACTGATCTGAGCTGCGCAATGTTTGTACCAACAGTTTTCGAGCAGGGGGGGTGTTTGGGTGAGGTGGTCAAGGCCACTAGGCCACCGCTTGAGGTACTCAAGCTCGTTAGCTAAAAGCTAGCTCGCTTGCCTGTGTTGCGCACCACTAGCTTAGCGCTACATCAATGTCGGCATTTGCCGATGGGGGTGGGCGTGGTTGGTTCGGTAGACGGGGGGCTCGGCTCTGTTGACAGGGTGAGACGCCTTGCCTGTATAATGGTCGGAGAACACAAGTCTTTTAGGCTCAATGTGATTTATCTGTTTAAATAAAGGTTGAATGAATGAATTGATGTCTCTGAGAAATGCATGGTCTAACCTTCGGGGTGAATTTGCTGGGAGGTCTACTAAAGGGAAGATTTTCATCTTTCTTCAGATGTTTCTAATTGTGAAGAATATTTTTGTCTGTCGAAAGATAAACTCCAATTAGTGTGGAAATGACCTTTGACCCCGTCCAGATTGATAGGCAGCAACATTTGCTTCTCTAAGGTCATTGCTGGCATCTTTCCGTCTTGGCGTTGCGTTTAAGAAAAATGAAGCCAAAGTTTTAAAACGCGAGTGTAAAACCAGTCCGAGCCTCGCTGCTTCCTCAGGATCATACAGGTGCAGCCGATCAAATGTATTGATTACCCGCTCAGCGTCAGTGGCACGACCTCTGCTCTGGAGCGTACAGGTTTGTGTTATTAAGCAATGACAAGAAGGAATGTGTTGTGTGGATTTGAACAGTTTGAGAACCCGGTAAAGATAAAAATCCTTGTTAGAATTGTAAAAAAATTTAAAAAGGTGGACTTTCTCCTTTCCTGTGTTTTTATCTCGTGTCTCGAGTTATGACAAATGTAATTAAATATCATGACTGTGAGCTGTATCGCTCAACTTCTTTCATATAAAACCTGAACATGTTTGATCTAAATGAGGACTGGATCGACTCCACTCCTCTGTCTTTGCAGTCGTGTCAAGCTGACTTGGTCAAAGACAACGGGCACAAGTACTTCCTGTCTGTGTTAGCCGACAGCTACATGCCTGTGAGTATCGACCACCATCATCAAGACCGCTCCGACTAATGAACTCCTAATTACTCGCCGTGTGAGAGCTGAGACTCTGTCTTGTCTTCCAGGCTGAACATCGGACGATGGCCGTCTTCATTTTAGCCGTTATCGTCAACAGCTACAACACAGGCCAGGTACGAGCACTTTGATCCGAGCCTGGAAGCCCAGAGGGAACGTACGACAAAATTAATAATTCACTTCCCCCGGCAGAACACGGGGGCTGTCGTCTCTGTCACCTGTTGTAAGTTTCCAGGAGTTATTGGTTATGTGGCAGTTCTGTCACCAGCAGTTACCTCCGCAATCTCCGTTTGTGTCGCAGCCACCTCTGTGGTGACACTTCATCACCGCAGGTGTCACTTCGGTCTGCTCCCAGCCTCCTGCGTACAATCCCAGCAGCCTTTTGTGTCCGATCAAGCACCCACCGATATGATGAGGGGCTGATGTAGCTCATTGTCTGCACCCCGTTCCTAAAAGGAAGCATTTAATCGCTCCGCAGTCTCGTTTCGGATGTTATTTGACTCGTTTCCTCCTGTTTGCCTGATAACACTAAACGCAAACGTGATCGGAGGATGTGTAATATGTGACCGTTCTCCCTCCTTATCCCTGAGATCTGAGAGCTCCTGCCTCTCCCTCAGGTTGCTGTGAATAATAGATGATCTCCAGCGTCACAGAGAGACACTCTTCCTGCTGCACGTCTCCTCCGTCCCGTTTATTTACCCCTCTTACCTTCCAACAACAGCCCTCTACTGCAGTCGCTGGTGAAAACGTGCAAAGCGAAACCTTCAGACTGAGGTCAGCGACGAGGGAGGAGCGAACCACATAAGCTTCGTCAGGGAGAGGGCGAGTGAAAAATGTGTTGCAGCCCCGAAATTGCACGTTTGAACAGTCACAGGAAGTTCATGCTTTTTATAAAACCAGCTGGAAGGAAACGCAGGTGGTGGCTGAAGCTCATGTTTTTATTCCCAATTTAAAAAAAGAGCATTTTTATTCTGCGTTTACACCCACAGTGACTCCTCTTTGGGAGTCAAACTCTGTGATTTTTTTTTTTTTTATTATACGCCTGTCGAAGGCGGACATATTATGGTTTAGTCTCTGTCCGTCGTTAAACTTTCGCCCAGAACTTCTGATCCACCTATTATATTAGATAAATATTATATTATGTTCATTACTCCAGCTTTAAGGTCAAGGTCACAAATCAAGGTCAGTTGTTATGTATGTTCTTTGCTTGTCCGAGCTTTTAGTATAGATTGCTGTAATACTTTGTAGACGGACGTATAATGAGGTACTCTTGTTGTACTCTGATAGTAAGTATACAGTAGTCCCTCGCTACTTCGCGGTTCGGATTTCGCTGACTCGCTGTTTCGCGGTTTTTCAAAATAAGATTGGACATGACACACAATTGGCTGATTGATGGATGAGCTGCACGAGCGGCATGGACTGTTTGTTTTAAATAAATTATTTTAAATGATTTAGCACCTGCTGCACCTGCTGCACCTGCGTGCAGCTCACAGGTGCAGGGAGACGCTCCCTCCTGCCAGTGATTACAGCGGAGAAGTGGGCGTGGCCGAGAGCTGCAGGTGGCAGAGAGATGAAATCATGACAAGCTGTGCTCTTTTAGAGCATTTAGAGTTTAGAAACATTGTTTATAATATTGCAAGAGTGTGGGAAGGGTTTGAAATTTCTATATATATATATATATATATATATATTATTATTTTTAATATATATATATATATATATATATATATATATATATATAGAGAGAGAGAGAGAGAGAGAGAGATAAATACTAAAATAAACTACTACTACTAGTACTGTATTTTTTGGACTATAAGGCGCAATATCCACGAACGGGTCTGTTTTCATACATAAGGCAAACCAGATTGTAAGGCACATGAAGCGAAACAAAACAGTCAGATAAGTCAAATTTTATTCAACTCATTCATAATAACCACATAAAATCAGTTCAAGGTCAGTAAACACAACCAGAATTTATACATAAGGCGCATCTGATTATAAGACTAACTGTCAATTTTTGAGAACATTAAAGGATTGTAAGTGATTATAAGTGCACCTTATAGTCTAAAAAATATGGTACTATTTGTATGACTATCCCTGCTTTGCGGTTTTTCACTTATTGCCTGGGGGGGACAGAACCCCAGCGATAAATGAGGGACTACTGTATTTAAATAGCATCGTTTTACAACAAAATGTATCTTAGGGCCAAAAATAATAATAAAACAGCCCAAAGCATAAATTTGTAATTCAAGTCCAGAATCAGATCCGACTAGAGCCGATTGAATTTCCAACAAGGAGCAGAAAAGATGAGCGCCGTTTCATTTGATCCAGTTTATACACTGGCTGAAGCATTTGGACCAGTTAATTATAGTATTTGACTTATTTTTTACAGGTGAGTAAAAAGTGTTAGAAGAGCCAAAACTTCAAAATGAAACTATTTCGTTCAAACAACTTTTTATGAATGTCACGGACTTTACGGGATCTTGATTTCTTCATGTTGGCCATTGTGGTACAAATTACTCCCACCGGCTCTTTGTCAGACTTTTATTCACGCACACACTTTTTAAAAAAACATATTTTTTTAATAGCTTAATGTTTTTCCCGTTCACTGAAAGTGTTACATTTCTGGCAGCGCATGAAAAGAAGAAACACAAAAGCGGCTAAAATCAGGAAGTGAAATAACCATTAGTCTGAAAAAATTCATGAAAAGATCATTTGAAAAGGAAAAAAAAGGTTTTTGTTCCACACGGTCTCAAATCTTGTACGTCCAATTACATTTTTTGTTGCACAGAAAAATATGTGAAGAAGCTTGAGGTCTTTTTGCTCTTTATTTTTTCTGTCAGTGTGAGGTTACAGGTCAGTGGTGATTTAATGAGTTTACCTGAACCAGCAGGACTAATGACCTTCACCTAATGTCTCCGAGACCTTTGACAAATAAAAGAAAGAGTCTGAAGAAATAAACGTTTCTCTCCTGTCGTCCTTCATCGTCCCGTCTCCCCCAACAGGAGGCCTGTCTGCAGGGGAACCTGATAGCCAACTGCCTGGAGCAGCTGTCTGACCCCCACCCTCTGCTCCGCCAGTGGGTGGCCATTTGCCTGGGTCGCATCTGGCAGAACTTCGAGCCGGCGCGCTGGTGTGGAGTCCGGGACAGCGCGCACGAGAAGCTGTACACGCTGCTGTCGGACCCCATCCCTGAGGTGAGAGGTCGACGTGAACATCCTGCGAGGAGATACACGAGTAGGAACAAAGATGGAGATCTTTTTCTGGTTTCTCAAGGAGTTGATAAAGTCTGATTAGGAAACTATCATGTCTATCGTGTTTTTAATTTGATATTATTTAATTATTTCGTGTCTCTCTACTGAAGACACTGGATGACAAAAAACTCAACTCCGGTGCTCTTCACTGACCCCTCCCTTTCTCTTTAAACTCCATTTTAACCGTCCAAAATTGCATTTTTGGACGTTAAAAGCAGCTAAGCTGAGAAGCTAAGCTACATGCTAAGCTAACAGGCCGACCTCGGGGGGAAAAAAAACTCCTTTTTGTCGAAGCTCAAAAATTCACGGTTGAAACCTGTGCCTTCATGTAAAAAGTTAATTTTCTCTGCAAAGAGAAGCTGAGAACGACTGATTTTTAATAAAAGTTTTGTGTGAAAAATGCTATGCTAAAGAGCTCAAACCACACCAAGCGTCCACCATTTTGAGAACCGATAAAAGGAAGGAGAGACAGCCCATGTCATGTCAAGGGGCCTCCCTCCCATTTTTCTTAGAGACACGCTGCTCGCTCCCTCACTATCCATCCTTTGATTCAAACAGTCTTATACTGCCATTTGGTGGTCAAAAAAGGTACTACCCTCAAAACAAATTTACCAAAATTTCTTCTTAAATTTGACAATAATTACTATTTATTGTCAAATTTCAAACAATATTATCGTTTATCGCAATAATTTCTGAGACAATTAATCGCCAAGCAAAATTTGTTACTGTGACAGGCCTAGCAAAGACTCCCCCACCCTCTGACCTAGAGGGACATTTTAAAGACAGCAGGTAAAATAAAAAGTCCAGACAACACACGTCTGCTGAAAACATAAAGAAAACTTTCTCAGAGATGAACGTTTCACTGTAATTGGTTCCTCCGGTCTCCAAACTCGTCCCTCTTTTGACTCAAACTGCATTGTGGGAATAACCAGCGAGGCTCCGCAGCGCAGACCTCAGCCAGGACACCGGCAGAGTCTGAGTTTAATCGATAACTATGAGGTGGATTTTGGGTCGAGGCCTTTCTTCGGTGAGCCGTGAGACGAGGAATCAATCAAACGTCCAACAGGAAGCTGAGCAGGGCACCGTGATCATGCACAATGATACCTGAGTGAATGCATCGCAATAATCAGGTTTAGTGTTACCTTCTGCTCGCCTCGTGTTTCAGGGAGTTTCAGTAAATCCTGTTAGGACTCAACGCTGCAGATTTCTGTGGAGAACTGGAAACAACACAATGACTGAAACTAAATCTGAGCTGAACTACTGAGTTGTTTTTTTATTCCACTCGCAAAGAACAGAGATTAGCAAGGTTTTTCCTAAGGAATTGGAAAAGAGATAATTAAAGCTAAAATAATGAGAACATTGTAAGACCATGATGTTTTGTCTGTTTTTTATTCGCCTGTCGAAAAAAAATCACTGTAAAAAAAAAAATCCCTGTAAGGCCACTTTGATTGTTGATATGTGCTGCTGACTATCCATGCTGCTGATCTTATGCTGCTGATTTATTTCATGCTGCTGTGTTCATTCGTACTCATCTGCTCACAAAGACTCTTGTTCGTGCTGCTGTTGTTCGGCGTATTGTTTTTGTACCACTAATACTTAGCGTATTCCTAGTTTCATATCTTGGATATTATTACTGTTTTTCTTTACAATTTATACTTTTGTTGGATGAAACTGGGACCCTGTGTATACAATTTTGTTCCATCACATGTACCGCATGTGATGAGAATGACGACAAAGAAACCTTGACCTTGACTTGACCTTGAAAGGCGAAGAGAATGTGGTCTTTACGTACTAAACTTTCTCTTGTCCCCCCATAACTTCTGATCCGCTCAAGATTATTTCACGAAACGTCATACACACATGCCTCATCATAAAACGGAGTGTTATCTTTTATCACCCGAGCTTCGAGGTCAAGGTCACAAATCAAGGTCAGCGGTGATACTAGGTCTTTGCTTGTCCGAAACAACTTCTGTTCTGCTCAAGATAAGTTAACAAAACTGAGTTTGTACCACCACGTGATGGCGTGTTGCATGATCTTGTCATCAGCCCAGCTCTGTGGTCAAGGTCACAAATCAAGGTCAAGGCTATGCAAGGTCTTTGCTTGTCTTGACCATTGCTACAGATTGCTGTATAATAGTTTGTCGATGTCGCATACTGTACGATACTCTTGTCTTGTTGTGAACCGCCCTCTTACCGTATTTTTCGGACTATAAGGTGCATCGGATTATAAGACGCGTGTGACGCAAGTTCATTTTGACAGATTATTGAGCGCCGTGTTCCACATAAAATCAGTTTGAGATCAGTAAGCACAACCATAATCAATACATAAGGCTCACTGTTGATTTTTGAGAAAATTAAAGGATTTTAAGTGCGCCTTATAGTCCCAAAAATACGGTACTGGTAGCTGGTTGGGCCGCAGGGTTGAAGCTGAGTTCTCCAGAACATTTTCTGTGTCGTGTCATTTGGAAGTTTTTCATTCATTTAGATTTTAAATATTTTAAAGTCTAAATGCTCCTGAGGATTTCAAGCTGAACTAAAATCTGTTTGAAGTTTGTCTGTCTGTGAGAGACACTGAGGTGAAAAACGTCATCAGGCTGAGTGTTTGGCACAACGTTCAGACACGTCTCTTTGAAATAAACATTCTTCTTTATGAAAGACCCGAGATTTTCTTCTCTTGAACCTTTGTGAAGATGAACGAATGCGACAAAAGCTGCAGAAACTCAGCACTAACTAGAAAGTTTAATTTGATTTAAGTGAAAGTGAACAGACAGAACCAAGGTGACAGTCTGAACTGACTCGGAGCTGTGCAACAACAAAATGTATTTTAATTTAGAATTATTCAAGTTGGACCAAATGTTTTTCACATAAAGTTTTACCTTTTCCCATCTTCAGATAAAGAATATAAATGTTTTTATGTCAGCTCAAGTCTTTTTTCAGCTTTAAAACCTTTTTTTCTTTCTAAATAAATAAAAAAAACATTCACATATAATGATGTGAAGAGCTCCCACTATGTGTTGAGGATGACTCTCAGCTACTACCATGACAAAAAAAATTAGCTCAACGTCTGTTAAATTGACTGAGTTACAGTAAAATAATTCTGGTGTTGGTTCAGTTAAACAGAAAATGTCAAAACATTTTTCCTGCCGTGGAGCAGCGGGCGTTAAAGGAACATCTGGTTTGTGATTCTCTTGTTTGTTTGCAGGTGAGGTGTGCAGCCGTCTTTGCTCTGGGAACGTTTGTTGGGAACTCAGCTGAGCGGACGGACCACTCCACCACCATCGACCACAACGTGGCCATGATGCTGGCACAACTCATCAACGACGGCAGTCCGGTGGTCCGCAAGGTCTCTACAAACGCTCACACGCGTCCGAGTCACCTTCATCTCCTCCACTGACGTCAGAAAGCTAACAAATGAAAAAATATTATTTATTTAATTGGACTTAGGACGCTTTTTCACTCAGTTTCAGTTCCACTACCTGAAATATTTTTGTTGTTGTTGTTGTTTAATCCACTCAACTCTGATCTTTGACTCATTCAGGCACAAAACGTCTCTTAAACTGAAGAGCTGGACCAGCGTTGTGTTGACGCACAACATGCAAATTAATAATAATTTAAAATAAAATAAATAAAAATACAAGTTCATACAAAGAAAAGGGGTTTGGCATTTGCTACTTTTTGTTGTTGGTCCAAACTGCATGGCTGGGGACAAACTGGAGACACTGACTTCCTGTTTACTTCTCACATGAATGCTCTCCTTTCTGTCGGTTTAGGTGAACGACATGTCGTGTTTGCGGGCGTTTCGTTCTCTTTACATTCTCTGATGAACCGTACCGCTGCTTTGATACTGTTGACCACAGTATCCTTATATCGCCGTTAGAAAACTGGGTTGGGATTACAGGTGTAGCTTTAGAATTGTCCTGTTCTTATCTGAGTGACAGGAGTTTTTGTGTTAATGTTGGTAATATATTTTCTGCTTCAGCACCCTTTTCCTGTGGGGTTCCACAGGGCTTGATTCTTGGACCCCTTCTGTTTTCACTCTTATCTGCTCCTTTTGGAGTCTATACTGAGGAAACATGGTCTTTCTTTTCATTGTTATGCTGATGATTGTTCGATTTATCTGCCCTTAAAACCCAACAGTTCTTCCTCCATTCACCCTCAGTGAAAATGTCTTGATGACATGAAGACTTGGATGACTTCTGATTTTTTAAGTTTTAATGATCAGAAAAGTGAAGTCATTGTGTTTAGCCCTAGCTCTACTGCTGTCTCTGTTCCTGTAAACCTTGACTCTCTTCAGTCTTATCTTAAACAGTCTGTTACGTTTCTCTGGATGGTTTTAGACTCTGACTTTAATAAGCAGGTTAACTCTGTTCTACAGAAAAGCTTCTTCCAGTTAATCAGATATTAAAGCTCAAGTCCGTGTTGACCAGATCTGACCTTGAAAAAAATAGTCCACGCCTTCATTACAATCCGACTGGACTACTGTTACGCTCTTTATGTTGGGGTCAGTCAGGTCTCAATTTACGTCTCCAGCTTGTCCAAAATGCAGCAGCTCGGCTCTTAACAAGAACTCTTAGGTTTGATAATATTTCACCAGTTTTATCCTCCCTTCACTGGCTCCCTGTACATATCAAATTTTATTTTAAAATTATTCTGTTGACCTTTAAGTGCCTAAATGGCCTTGCACCTTCTTGTCTCTCTGACCTACTTCAACCATATGTTTCTTCTCTGAGCTGAGATCATTTGATCAGCTGCTTTTGGGTGAAGTTCAGAGGAGATTGGGCTTTTTCAGTCATAGGCCCTAAACTTTGGAACAATCTGCCCCCCCAACATTAGACAGGCCACTTCACTTCCTGTTTATAAATCTCTTAAAAACTCGTCTGTTTTCTCTAACTTTTAACATAGTGTGATTTGATTTAGTGTTTTGTTTTGTGTTTTATGGTTTTTCTTTTGATGTTTTTAAAATGTTTCCTTTCCATTGTTTTTTTTATTGTTAAGCACTTTGGTCACAGCTGCAGTTTTTAAATTTGCTTTATAAATAAGTTTGACTTGACTTGAACAGATCTCTGCGAGGTGTTTAAAACTTGGGATGTTGTTATTCAACCTAACCTTGTTTTAAACTTCGCCAACTTTTTCTCTGACCTGTTTGGTGTGTTCCTTGGTCTTCATGATGCTGTTTAATCACTTGCGTTCTGTGACTATTCCCTGACGCCTTCACCGAACCGCTGGATTCATGCTGACATTAACTTACACACAGATGGCCTTTATTTACTAATTACCTCTGATTGGTTGAAGTGGATGTTAAGGAGGAATATCAGAGTAAAGGTGTGAATACAAAAGTTCCCCACGCTTATCAGGTTTTTATTTGTTAAAGACCTCGTCACGATTAAGAGCTGCTTTGCGCTGGTTTATCATATGGATCCCAGTAAAGGTCCCGGTTGTTCCTGATTGGATGTTTTGTGTGTTCCTGTCAGGAGCTGGTGGTGGCGCTCAGTCACCTGGTGGTTCAGTACGAGAGCAACTTCTGCACCGTGGCCCTTCAGTTCATAGAAGAAGAGAAGAACTACGCCGTGCCGTCTCCGGCCACCATCGCAGGTTTGTGTTGCACGTCACCGCCTAACGTTTTCTTTAACCGTGTCCAGATTTTATCAGTTTTGGGATCTTTTTTCTTTTGTTGTCAGACTTTTATGGGAAATTTTAACTCCTCTTTAATAAATGGTCACACTTGCCATGATTTATTTCATTTTTACTCATCAAAAGTCATAAAAATTACATAACTTATTTTCCAGGTCGAAGTATAGAAAAAAATTTTTTTTAGAGGTTTGTGTTGAAAATGTTATTTCCTATTTTAAATTTGAGATAAATCTTCTCAGACAAGCTCAGGGGTTCATTTAAAACTTACAATAAATACATTTTTGATGTAGTTATTGTTTTATTTCACACTGGGAGACAATTCAAGCTAAGAGCACTTGGAACTAAAGAATGTTTGAAAATTCAACAGAGAAATTTAAATTTCAGTCTGGAAAAGGTTGAAGTTTTTAAGAAGGAAATATACATTTACATATTTGGCTTTGATTAAAACCGTAAGCTTTTCATAAATATAGTTGATTTGACAGAACTGATGCGGAGATTTAAAAAAAAACAAGTTAAGCATTTAGCAAATATTTACAGATTCTGTCCTTCATCGCTGGAATTTGAGTAAATTTAAAGAGATCAAACGTTCTAATTAACTTTATATACTTTGTAAGGCATTAAAGGGGACGTTTATGTGGAAGTATCCTTATTTTTATATTTCTTTTTGTCTTAAATCTTTGATCCTGGCAGAATTTGAACAATCTGTCTTGATTTGATGCAGAGGTGTCGGATTGTTCCGGCTCCAGGATTCAATGGAAGGATTTCCAGTTTAAAAAGTTCCTAAAATCCTCCAGCACTGAGCCCGTGAACCCTTTCTGCTGCTTTTCAGAGCCCGGTAACCTGACTCCGGTGAGAGACAGCCCGGCCATCCCTCGCCTGCGATCCGTCAACTCCTACACCAACATCCGAGCCGTCACCACGGCCCGCAACCTGAACAAAAGCCTGCAGAACCTCAACGTCAACGAGGAAGGTACGAGACCGCTGAGCATGCTGGGAAACGCTCTTAACGACGTGCATTTATTTATTATCAACAGCGTGAGTCAGTTCATTGATTTCTACTACGTTCTCTTTGAAATGAAACGGCTCGTAAACTATGAATTTGCTACGTTTTGTTTTTCTTGTCAGAATTCACTGACGTTATGGTCCTGAGAGGATTTCAGGGACGTCCTAAAGTAAAAGTTGTCCTGGTTTAGTTTGAAGCACAAAAATAAACAATCCTCTGACTTTTTGGTGAAACTAGGTGCTTTTCACACTGTGATAATCTCCTGCCAACGACGGCGAAAGGATGATTGTTTTTCTGCTCGCATCTGTGTGAATGTGCGATTGTCTGTTAGCAAAATATCTCATGAACTAGTTGGATTTTTATTGAAATGCTCACAACATAGTTACTGGATCCAGGGTTCAATCAGGGCATACCTGGAAAATAACTCACATTTTCCAGACAGGAAAAAAAAGCATACACAAAACAAATTCTACTTTAACTAGAGAAACTGCATTTCCTATGAAAATGCAGTGTGAATGCTTATTGCTGAAAAACTTGGTGAAAAACAGCTGAAATTAACTAAAACATGCTGAAATGTAGCTGAAATGGAAGAAGTAGAAAGAACACATAATTGCTGAATTAGGTTTAAATAAGCAGAAATTAGCACAAAAATCAGGAAATGATCTAAAAAAGCTGAAATTAGCAGGGAATTATCTAAAAAGGCTGAAATTGGCAAACAGTAGCTGAAAGTAGCTGATAAGGCAGAAGGAAGCTTAAACTACCAGAAGGAAGTGAAAGGAGCTGAAAATAGCTCCAAACATGTGGAATTAGATGAAAAAGCTAAAATTAGTACAAAACAGCTAAAAATAATCTGAAAGGAGCAGAAAAAGCTAAAATTAGCAGGAAGAATTTAATTAGGCTGAAAGTAGTAGAAATTACCACAAAAAAAAAACTTGATTTTATCTGAAAACAGCTGACTTCTGTAGAAATGAGCTAAAAAAAAAATTGCTTTTAAAAAAAGTAGCTGAAAAGATAGAACAAGCATAAACTAGCAGAAGAAAGCAGAAAGAACAATTTTGCCCAGTTAGGCTGAAAGAAGCAGAAATGAGCACAAATAAGTGGAAATTATCTGGAAAAAATAGAAATTAGCAAAAAAAAAACAGCAGTAACGTAGTTAAAAAGCAGAAAGAAGCCTAAATTACCAGAAGGAAGTACAATGTTGGCTGAATTTGGCTGAAGAAATTGAAATGAGTGCAAAAAAATGTAGAATTAGCTGAAAAAGCTAAAATTAGCAGAAAAATAGTAGAAAAAGCTGAAACTTGCAGAAATAAGCTGAAATGAGCATAACAAGCTAAAATTAGCAGGAAGAAGTTAGAACAATAAAAATGTTGTAGTTAGCAGAAATAATCAGAAAAGAGCACAAAACAGCTGAAATTAGCTGAAAACAGCTGAAATTTGCAAAAGGAAGATAAAAGCAGCTGAACCAGAACAAAAGGTGAAAGGAGCAGTGAAAGGTTGTAAACAGATTTAAAGATCTGAAAGATGTAAAATAAGCTCAATTCATTTTCAATGAGGAAAAATTGTCAGAAAAGGCTAAATATTTCAAAAAGCTAAAGTTGCACTAAAACCAAAAGTCATAGCAACCTTCTGCTGAAAGAGCTGAACGTTTTCATGTATAATTTGTTGAAATAGCACAAAAATGTACAGAAGAAAAATGTATCACAATAGAGTGAATGCTTAATAAACATTCACACAATTAACAGTTCAGTGATGAAACCTTTCAGCTGGTTTCAGCTTCTTCAGCAGCTTTCAGCAGAAATCATTCAGCAATAAGCGCTCACGTTGTATTCTCAATGGAGTTGCAGGTTGTGGTGTTATAACGCTTGTTGTTTGTGATGCAGGTGCACCAGCAGCCTTCTCTCCTGGAAACCTGAGCACCAGCAGCAGCGCCAGCAGCACGCTGGGGAGTCCCGACAACGACGAGTACATCCTGTCCTTCGAAACCATCGACAAGATGCGCCGGGTCTCCTCGTACTCCTCGCTCAACTCCCTTATAGGTAATGGCGTGTCTCGACTCTAACGCCGGGGTTTGGTTTCATCGAAGCAGGAACTCTTTTGTTGTTTTGCAGAAAACAAAACCGTTCCGTAACGTCTTGTGTACTGTGACTCCTGGGGAGCAGAAATATCTCCGCTTCATAAACAACAGATTTGTTGCAGAAATCTTGCGTTATGAGCAGAAAACAGGAGCTTACAGAGCGCAGGCTTCAAAGTTAAAGATGAGGTGCATTGTGGGAACTTTCTTTGACCTATTCTAATATATTCCAGACTTTGCTGCTTAGTTTTTACTTCTCGTCTTACAGTCTTTCTCCTGTGAGTTAACCTTTGACGCCTCGCTCATCTTAAAGGCTTTTAAAGCTTCTGTCAGTGATAATATTAACAGAGACCTAAATGTCAGCCCTACATCTGCTGAACTTTTTTATCTTGTCGAGCTCAAAAAAGTACTTTACAGTAAGTTTCTCTTTTATCGTTCATGTACTGAACACAAAATAACACCTCTTTTACAAATTCCATATATTTTACGGTCATAAGGAGCCAGATGGTCAAATGTATTGATTAACTTTTCAGCATACAGGTGTGTGTAAACAAAACAACAAGGCAGAAGAACATCTGCGATGACCTTAGAGAAGCTGTCCATGAATCGGGGAAGGGTCAAAGGTCATTTCCATACTATGTGGACTTCCATTTTAGAGAGAGAAATATAATTAATAAGTGGAAACATTTAAGGATGTTGCTGATCCTCTCAGAAGTGGATGTTTCAGCAGATTCACCCCGAAGGTCAGACTGTGCAAAGCCCAAAGACTCAACTCAGTGTTGTTTTGTTGTTTTTAATTACTTGTCAATGTCAACTTAATTATAAAGCACATAAATTCAAAAATTGACCAAAGTGCTTTACACTTCTGTCAAATTAAAATGAAAATAAGAAAAAAGAACAAGAAAGTTCATCTTATGTTACATCTTGTCAAACGCAGAGGTAACTCAAAGTGTTAAACAAAACAAATGGATAAAAATGAGGAAATGCAGCATAAAACCAATAAAACAGAACATAGATGACACAAAACATCCATCCATCCATCCATTTTCTTTACCCACTTATTCCATTTTGGGTCACGGGGGTCGCTGGTGCCCATGTCCAGCAATCACTGTGCGAGGGGCGGGGGACACCCTGGACGGGTCGCAAGTCCATCACAGGGCCACACAGAGACAAACGAGACAAACAATCATTCACTCTCTCACTCTCACCTAAGGACAATTTAGAGTTACCAATCAGCCTAACATGCATGTTTTTGGTCTGTGGGAGGAAACCGGAGTACCCAGAGAAAACCCACGCATGCACGGAGAGAACATGCAAACTACACCCAGAAAGGCCCCTGGACCAGGGTTTGAACCAGGGACCTGCTCGCTGAGAGGCAGCAGCTCTACCAGTTGCGCCACCGTGCTGCCTTGACACAAAACAATTAAAGTTAAATCTAACACAAAACTAAACGCTATAACAATAATGTTAATTTAATAAAATTCTATACATCAATGTTCGTGATGTAGCATATTAATCAAAATGATAAAAACACCCAACAGCTTGGTCTCAGACGCTGCTGACCTCAGAAGGTCAAAGGTCATGACAAGACGGTGAGAAAACGATTAGTTTTGAAGCACTGCATGCGAAAGTCTCGACTCTTAAAACAACATGGAAGTGCAACTTAATGTTATCTGAATGAGTTGTTTACCCAGAATGCACTGCAGCAAGCAGCTCCTCCCAGCTGTCAGCATGGTGGTGGAGGCTGACGGTTTGGGCTCCTGTCAGTCACTGAGTGAACCAGGAACTCCTCTGGCGACCAAAGGGTTCTCATCTGTCCAACAGCTGAAGCTTGGATCAAACTGGATCCAACAGGATCATGATCCCAAACACAGAAGCTGATCTAGAACAGAACTGGTAATGGTAAATGGTAAATGGACTTTATATATAGTGCTTTTTTATCTTATCAAGATACTCAAAGTACTTTAAACTACAATCTGTGCCCTCAGTTACCCATTCTTACAGCACTCTACTAGATCTACACAGAGAATATTCAGTGCTTTATCACATTCATGCAACTGCTGGAAAGAATATTGGGCCAAAGTCCTCCAAAACCACCTGAGAGGCCAGTACAGAAAGCCACTACAGCCAGTGTTCACACTCGTCTTCTGTATTTTAACTTTTTTTTTCTTCTTTCGGCTGCTCCCTTCTTCAGAAGTGAACTAACTCGCACAAAGACTTGTTTGTTTTTACACCGGATGCCCTTCCTGACAGAACCGCCGAGCTACCACAGCCCTCTGTGTGGAGCAGAGAGCTGCCATCTAGGGCACCTGGGGGAGCAGATGGTGGGGGTTAAGGACCTTGCTCAACGGTCCAGGGTGGGGCAAATGAGGGCGGAGGCGGATGTGGGTGCTTCACCTTTTCCACCCACTTTTTATTTTATTTTTATGTTGTCTGTATGAGGAGTTGACCTTCTTTAACCGCTGCACCACCGCTCCCCCATAACTTTATTAAATAAATAAGACGTTATTTGGTCGTGTGATGCTCGTTTCAATGTTTAGCTCATTGTTGCATTTTAACTTTTGAAGTATTCACGTGTAAAATAGTCATTTTGAAGGATGTTTTGGGGTTCTTTTTTTTATAAAATACAGACAGGATCGTCTGGTGTCACTTTGGAGACACAGGGACATGTGTGCGCCCCCGTGAGGGAGTGCAGTCTCTCTTAACGAGGTCAGCACGGACCATCCAGGCTAAACGCTTTTCCTGATCCTGTTCATTTGCTGCTGCTCTCAGGTGACGGGGGCCCGACTCCACCCGCCACAAGAGGAGCAACAAAAGCTTTTTGTGTTTTTCTGTTCGTTTTTACGACACGTTTCAGATTACAGTCCTTCTAATGATCCAGCTGCTCGGTCACCTTCTGTTTTCTGCTTTTTCTTTTGCAAAATGTGAAATCAGGTTTAGAAACAGTGGAGTTCACTTGTTGTGAACGGTTTAGGTAAATTAAATTTTCTGTTATGCATTGATTATTTTTAGTCCTATATGAAGTTTCTGCTGAATTCTCTTCCATTTATTTCACTTTTAGCACAACCTGCATCATTAATCTGTTTGACTTTAACAAAATGGAGTTTAAAGGTTTGTTTGATTTATATTAATTTAATACTTAAACAAATACTGATCCAATCCAAAGTAAAGCTGAGCTTCATCTCTCAAATTATTATTTTAGGAAACATTTCGTAAACAAAAACATCTAAAACCTGAAATTGAATCCGATGAAAAGACAACACAGTAATCACAGGTTGGCCGCTCTCGTTTCTCTTCCATCCAACAGATCAAACATTCGATGCTGGTTTAAACCCGTCCAGTGTCTTAAAGCTGCCATGAGGTCCCTGTGTCAGCAGCTTTAAAGATAAAAAAACAAAGTCCATGCTCAATAATCCAGGTATACAATCCAACATTTGTCAGTCGGGTCATCCGGACAGTTTTATTTTTTTGTGCTGAAACGTTTGTGCTGCGTTTCCTTGACTGATGAAGCCTTCTGGATGGAAGGCGAAACGTTTCAGCACAAAAAAAGAAACTGTCCAGATGACCTGACTGAAAAATGTTGGAGCTTTAAGATACTTTGCTCCGCCCACTGAGCTGTGAGCCAACCCAACACCCCCACAGAAAGAGCCTTTTCGAAGCAGCCATCTTGAAATGTGCTGCACATTTAAACAAACGTCCAGAGAAAGTGAGAGGATGAAGAATCAAAGCTCGGTGCAGATTTTTCATTAGACTTCCAGCTGCTCTGTTCTGTTGTGAACCAAATAATTCATTGAAGGAATGCCTATCACCCGCCACCTTTCCTGTCAAGAGTTCAAAACTAAGTTTGTCTTCTGTTGAGAGAAGACGGAGTCGTGGCCGTTTGGATCAAACCTTGAAAACAGCGAGAGCTTCCATCGTCTGTTCTCCCTCAGCTACTGTTTTAGCTCCAAATCTGTAAAACTGAGTTGTAGCTATTTGTGTGTCCGGGGCGGGCGGGGTGTTATTTATTCATTTTTATGCTGTGGTGGCAAAAGCAGAATTTCTGTTGGGTTTTTTTTTTGGTAAGGAAAATAAATAAGAAGATTTCTTAGGAGCAATTTTCTGTGGGGGGACATAGATTAAATAAAATGATGCCAAAAAAACTCCCCATTGAGGAATCGAACTCTCTTCTCCCTCGTGACCAAAAAAAACCAAAACATTTAGTAAACATTTGGCCGCACAGAGCAGTCGGTCTTGAAGCTCCCTCTGACCGTTCATAAATCCCAGACGAAGACGGCCATGTCCCCGCACCAACGTTTCATAAATGAAACGGGCAGTGCAGAACCAAAAGAGGCGTGGAGCCGAACTCAGCTGGGTTGACGTGGAGCGTGACGCATGAGCATGTTGAACATCTCCCTCGTGTCATTTATTAAATGTAAGGAATCAACTCACTTTAATGATCCTCTTTGTGGTTAACATTTTTTAAATTTATCACAATAAAGCTGTGCGATATCATCCATCTTCCTTCTGTAATAAATCTGTTGTTTAACCCCGCGAGCAGGCGTTCACACGCTAATGACATCAGTTCATCACGACTGAGCTATGGCTGTCCTTTTTACAAGTCGACTGGTCCGGCTCTGGTACTACCTCATTTGGTGGCGCAGAGATGGACTCTCTTCGATCCGCCTCGGCATGTCTTCTGAATGCACCGAAACTTAATCTTTGAAAAACATAGATTCGTCGTTTTGCCTGTATAAATGTTGGATATGCTTTTATTTTTATGTTGCTTGAAATTATTATTTTGTTAAATCATTTATTGGAGGTGACAATCTCTGTTTTTCCACAAACAGGTTTTCCACCTATGTGTGGCGGCATAGGCGTCGCATCATTTATATGTGAAGGGGGCGTGTCCCCCTCACCCAGCGCTGTTTCTACTTCTTAGTGAACAAATCCACTCCACTTAATTAATAGGATACTCAAACTACTAAAAAATCCACTCCGGGTTTTCCTGGCTACCTATAACAACTCACCACACTGCATGTAGTGTTTCCCCGAGGTCACTTGGTTTGCCTCTGCGCTCATCTCTGAGGGGTTTCATGTGGACGGGGCGTGGGGAGGAGGGGGAGTCACCTCTGTGTTGCGTGCTAGCTTAGCGCTACGTTAGTGCCAGCAGTTGTTGACGGGAGGGTGGGAGGGTTAGGATGCATGAGAGAAGCGCTACGTCTGTATCATCTTAGCTAGCGCATGTGAATTGGGTGTTGCTACATTAGTGCGAGCATTTGTCGACTGGGGGGGAGGGGTGTTAGGATGTGTGAGCGAGAGAAGCGGAGCTTGATCTATTCACACAAGGAGAGCTGTTGGTCAGGCTACTTCTTGTTGTGCCATTCTCTCTAAAATAGTTATTGAATCGTATGTTTACTCATGTGGGTAAGCATAGATGTTTAACAACCAGTTAAAATACACCAGAATGCAGGAAATGGCATCTACTTTATTCATTTTTTTCTGGGGAAGGACCCTCAGACTCCTCCCCCCCACACACACATACACACCACCACTGTGTGTCACTCCCAAAATTAATCAGTTGTAGATGTACATTTTCTGATTACTTTCTAAGAGCTTTATTAAATTTGTCTACAAGTTCATGAGATATTTTGCTAACAGACGCATAAGGACGCTGGCTTGAGCAAAAATACACCTTTTAGTATAACATAAGATGGCAGCACAGTTAAAGGAGAAACAAAAGGAGGAAGTTGGTGGCCAGGAGGCGTGTCGAGGGTGAATGAATTCATAAAACGGTCAAAAATGAATAAAATAGAGACAAAACAAAGGTATGGTGAGGGTTAAAGATCAAAAACCAACTGAAGAAAGGTGAGAGGTTTAGACTGCAGCCCGAGGGCAGGGATGTGATTAGTGAGAGCGAGCCGGTGAGCTCGCAGCTGCAGTGAACTGAAATACAGCTCCTCTCCCATTTAACTGCTGCTCTGCATTACGAGCGCACACAAAGTACCGCCGCAGCGTCTCTGCGTCTAAACGTGACGGGACGTGTCGGCGGATATTATTCAGCGGCCCTGATCCGACTCCCGTGTCATTTAAACCGAGTCAAACCCACGTAGCTTCGTAAAGATGTTAACCACCGGCGAGATGAGCCGCTGCGTCACGTCTTTATTGCCTCTAAAATCCAGGCAAACGGACGGAAGCGCAGCTAACACGGCTCTGTGATTTTAGAGCTTTAAAATATTTAATATTCACCATGGAAAGAAACCTCCCTGAAGAACGTTCTCAGGCGTCGGCGCATGTGGAGGTTCAATTAAAACCTGTGATGTAATTAAATGTGCAGCTACAGGAAATGTCTGTGATGAGTAAAGGTGCGTGTCCAATTTCAGCTTTTGCCAAAAGGTCTGTTTAAAGCCATGACGAGGTTTGACCGAACAGCTAAAACTCTGGCATCAGAGGTTCACAACCTGTTCTCTGCATTAAAGTACTCACAACTACAGCAGATTAACAGCCTCTAATTAGGGACACGGGGATAAACAAAACATTTAGAAAGTGACAAAAAGAAGGTGAAGTGGTGACATCAAGCTGAAACATTTTGTAACACATCAGTCAAGTTGAGGATCCAAACGAACTCATTTGAGGAGATGAAATATGCAGGAAGTGGAAGAGAAGACACAAATAAATGTGATTAATGTGTGCGATGCAAATGTAAAGAGACGGTTTAATTCAGAGTTTACATCAAGTCGAGGCTAAACGTTTTACACCAAAGTTAGAAGCAGCTTTGGTTTGGCTCAGAAAGCTGCAGAAATTATGAAATATATCGTCAAGTTTTTGTTAAGCTGCCGTAAACTGCCACGAAATGGAAGAACGTTTAAAAGAGTGAACTAAACTTTACGGTAAAAAGCTAAATCTGCTGAACCAGGAGAGAAGGAATGTTTCAGGTTATGAAGTAAATTGATCAATTTTCTGTGTGAAAAGGTTGATTCAGATTAACGAAGCAGCAGCATCACTAGATGGAGTGTCGTGTACAATTATCATAACCCCAGCTCCAAGGTCACAAATCAAGGTCAACATTAAAAAATGGTCTTTGCTTGTCCTGACCATAACTCCTGATCCACTCAAGATAATTTATTTGAACTTCATACACATATGCCTCCTCATTAAACGTAGCGTGGCGTTTATTTGTAATGACTCCAGCTCCAAGG